TACTATCGATCGCAGAGGCGATAGGAATCCGACTGCTGGATCCACAACTTTGCATCCAGAAGAAACTTGTGCGACCTCTGAACTTTAACTGGCCTACGAAACATCTGGTCCCACAAGTCTGTCTGAAATTGACCTCATTAACCATTGACCTACCCGTCACTCACCCCTTCCTTTGACTTCTATTTCTCTAAGGTGTAGTCCCGATCTTAACCTTTTCCACGTGATTTCTACTACCATATAAATTTGTGATGTATTAGATAAGATGAACAATCGGGGAAAAGAAGCTGTTTTCGCTACCACGGAAAGATTTTCTAATTAGCTTTTCCTCAGGATGAGCTTCTCTTCCGTAGGTTCGGTCGAGAACTCGAGAGTGGCTGATATTTAATACCATTGTGGACCACTTTGAGACACTGCACATTTATAATGGGTCTCTTTAATGTGGTCAATATTTTCAGTACACTGCATCATTATTAGGGCATTAAGGATTCGACGTTCCTCAGGAGAAACCCTGATGGGACATTCATTTAGGTTATGATTCAGTGAAATATTTTCACTCTTTATCAAAAATTCATTCGGTACATTCAAATAATGGGTGAAGATCACCCAGGTGAATCCCATTATTTGCCTAAACTAGCAACTAAAATCTCCTGCCGTGTCCTTTAATAGGTGGGCTTAACGTTTGCGCCGGAATGCTCCACGGTTGGAATCCCGCAAGATTTAATCCACCGGCCTCCGAGATCGCGAGTAATTTGAAAATACAGACAGCATGCATTCATATCTAAATGCTGTGCACTATACTGTCGTTCACCCTTCTACCAGTTCCAACCATTCAGTGGTCCGTTCACTATGCGCAGTCACTGGTACGCACATATTAGGTCCGGATATTTAACAATCAGGTATCGGCACCGACGAAACGGCTGGTAATGGGCTACGAGAATTTGTGAGGCCGGAAAATTGATTAGTTATATGTATATATATGTATATATCATTTATATATACATATATATATACAAAAGTGATAGATAAACCTTGCTGTGCCATTTTTACTGAACAAGAGTTTGCGGAATATTAACTAGGACAGGGCTATCCAGAAGTAATTTTCAAGACGACAGATATTTATTGAACGCATTTCAGGCTTATCGATTTAGTTTGGCAGTAGGTCTAGCCAGGGCTTTGAATCCGATTCCCACAATTCTCCAAGCACTTTCTATACATCAGTAGCATAGATGGTGGTCAGAATGACAAGTGGTCACAGTTCCAAGAGAGTGGTTGGTGAAGAACAGCTCGAATCCGGTTCATGTTTGTCCTTCTTTTGTCAGTCTGGAATAGGTTGTATTAATTAACCAAACGTAAGAGAAATGTGCGAGTGAGTGACTCTACAAAGTACCGTACGGTAAACTGCGTTGGCTTGACCGACTAATTATTGTGATGAATGCCCTCACGCCCTCTAACTATAGTGCTCCTTGTCCGGTATAGCAGGCTCGCGGTAAACATGGAGCAAAGCGACTGGTAAATCACAACGAGCAGAATAATCATAACGACAGATGAGATAACTCCATAAGTTTGCAGAAAAGAGCAGGCATCCTGAAAACATAAAGAAAGGCGGGAGGACGTTTAAAGTATTTCTTTCTTCCTCAGTACACTGTCTGACTAAGATACATTTGGTAACTGCACTTCTCACTCTTATCGACCGAATCGTACTAGAACGTGCCATAAGTTGTTCACGTTTTTCATACACAGTATTTACTGATATACGTACAACTCAGCAAGATTTCCGAGGGATATGCGGCATGCCTTCCCCATTCTCGTCTGCGTAGTTGCCGCACCACTACTCTTCTAAATATTTCTACTGGTTTTCATGTTTCGCGTTTGGGTTAAGACCAAAAGATTTGTATTTCACCACAGAAGCACTGTTTAAAATCTATTTCAGCACTTCTTTTTCGGAATATAGCAGTGTTCTTGTTGTGCATTCGCTAAAATGACATAATGATACCAAACTTTACTGGTGCAATCATTTGCATATTTAGCTTCGTCAAAGACAACCACTCTGCCTAAATGGATACAAAAAGCTCCTCAAAACTTCCACCTAGTTATTACCTCCTTTTCGTATCCTGCAACAATGTGTATGGGCTTTAACGTTAGATGCAAGCAAACCAAACCAAACCAAACGCCAGGCGACACTGAGAAAAACATTATACTTTGCTCTACCTCTGAATTACAGCCGACATAAGTGTCCACACAGACCCAAAGCTATAGAACCATGGGGGCCCTGCGTGATGTCCGAATATACCGCCCAATACCATCCACAATGTGTTGAGCCAAACAAAGTGATTGTTCCACCTAGCAATATATTTGCAAGTGGGGATCCAATGTCGGGGAAAACTACACACAGGTAAGATGTAGGGTGTTTTAATTGACCCATAGAAACGACTATGTTCCACATCCATATGAACGTCCATACGTTCAAAAGCCGATACCATATAAGGCTCCGTGCGGCAAGATGGAAGACTCTACTTTGTACCGCAATGAGTACACAGCGAAAAATTGTGCACCCAGCCTACCGGTAAAGCCACTAGAAAGAAGGATGTGTTCGGCAAAATTTGACGGACAACCAACGTATCGCTGTAAGTTCTGAATAATGAATACACTTTCTTTCCTATTTTGATAAATGGCACAAATATGTTCATTTAAAGTTAAGAAGAGCAATCGATGGTGCAGAGAATGCCAAGATTTTTGTACTTCGAAACTCCCTTTTTGTTTATCAGGACTGTATCGGAATTCGACTCCGCATCTATGCATTTTGACCATGGACTTTGTCATGTAAAAGAAATTTTCCGCTGAAAGTTGTAGTTCTCAACAGCTTATAAGCAGCTTATGAATCCGGAGGGGGATTTGACGCACATATCTTACGTAATGAAGGTCAAGATTGCACCTATGGATTGTGGGTACCAGTATAAAAACGCAGATAGTTATTGGTCACAAAGCACAGCCTGGCAGGTCAAATACCTGGTGGAATCAGACGTGGGGCCAACAGCCATCCCTAACCGGAGACCGGTGGTATTCATCCACCGTAAATTCCATTGATGTTAACCAGGGATTCAGCTGAATCGCAGCTGAATCCTTCGTTTCAGCTTCTTGTCGGCTCAGTGTTGCACGAAGGCTGCTCCGTTTCATTTTTAAGAATATTTGGGTAGCGTGATTGAACCAATGCCTCTACTTTTCTCTACTTCCGTAAACTGTATTCAGTTAGTTGTGCCTTATAAAACACGTTACTTATTAGTTTGATGAGAACTCCTCGACATCCCATTGCCGGTTTAGCCCCTCGCTGTGTTCGTCAGATAAGCACACCCACCACGCTTCGGTCAGATGCCCCTCGCTTGTTCGTCAGATAAGCACACCCACCACGCTTCGGTCAGATCTATGCCTTGAATGAACACCAAATTGTACGCAAATAGTGGGTTGTCAACCAGGTTTCAGCAACCCTATATGCAATGCGCTGTGTCAAGAAAGTATACTTTGATTTTTTAATAACAATGAGGCGCCGTTATGCAGCGCGCTTAGTTGTGGAATACCAACCACGATAGATTAACCTGGGAATCAGGTTACTCTCTCGGTAAAATTAGCTGAATTTGCAAATGAGTGTATTTCGTGATTTGCGTGCAATTCGGTTTTCAAGTAGGACGTAAAGTTTGTTGAAACTTAGGGAGTGAGTCCATCTGATGAGCCTCAAGAGGTACGAAATCGGCACTGGGCTGTCGGGGATTTTTCAGAAACAAATCTTGCAATTAGTGTCTTTTGTAAACGAAATACCATACAAGGTCAGAGGGACTTATTTTTGCGTTGAATCAGCCATGTTGCCATTTACCAACCAACATCAGTGCTGAGTCGGAAATCTGATCCACTCCTACTGGTGGTTCTCGTAATTGCTAGTTACTGGGGTAAATACGGTGGCTAAATCAGTCTGAATGGCCGTAATTGGTTTTTATCCCTACAGTCTGGAGGTACACCAATTTAGGAACCGCTGCGAATGCATAGTTTGTGGGACTGGAATCAACACGACAATACATGAGAATACATGATGTTGATAGAGCGCCCACTACTTAGGGTGTGTAGCACTATTGTAAAGATCCTCTGTCCGGTCGTAGAACAATCCTATGAGCTTAGTGCCAGAAATCTATGTATTTATCCAGAACACCTTGCCAAACAGCCCAAACATTCCAGCACTGGATTGGTATTATGTTCTTCAGATGACTTCTGTTTATTGGGCCGTTTTAGTGTAAAATACTTAAGGGAGAAGCATGACCTTACCCTTGGTAGGGTGTTCTTAGAAACAGTTCCAGTAGAGCTAGACACTGCATGAACCGGTTGTTTTCAATTAATCAGACTGTAATAATTCCCTCTATACCGTTAGGAAACCACTAGATAACTACTGAGAATGAACGTATTTTTGTGTTCCAGACGAAAGAGCCCCTGTTTTACGGACAAGTAAACATTCATAAATTCGTAGGCTGGAAAAATCCAAATGATAATTCCCTAAAACTTAGGGCGCTCACACGTTTGCCTTTTTAAACTAGGTGCAAGTTAAATTTAGATCTGAATTAAAGAAACCAAACTCCTCACAACATATTGGAAGGAAAAAACTTGACAGGCATGAGGTCGTAACTGTCATGTTTTACATGGGAACCAAAGTCATAAAGGATTTACAAGTTACCGGAGTAATCATTTTATACTATTTGAAATCTACCAAGTTTCTTACACATCCTGTTAATTGTAAAACCTTTTTTTTGAAGTGATACATGTAGATGTGAATTCTACTTGCGCTTTCCCTTCAGCTGACTACAGATCCTGGGACTTGCCACCCATGAGACCTCAGAAACCAAAGCAGGAACGTCCAAATTTGCCAAAGTTTGATGCTGAACCTGTTTACCGTCGTGAATTTGTTCCAAAATGCATAGAAAAGCTCAAGAGTTACAAGCCAGAGAATAGACCCACACCGGACGAGCCATTTCGAAGTGACACAATGTACCGTACGGAATACGTACCAAGACAGGTAGAACCTCCAGCGCCAATTAAGCCAGCTTTGTATGCAAAATCAAAAATGCCGTTTGAAACTTTGACGACGAACCGGAAAGATTTTACTCCCAAAGAAATGTGTAAGTGGGAACTTTATTTTTGGTGAGGTTAAGCGTAACATATTTCCCTACATATTTTAGCCAGTTGGTTTGGCCTGCAGTCAAACGACCGAAAGACCGTATAGCTGGTTTTACATGAATTTATTCCATTTTCAAAACGGCCTATTTACGAAAAGAATGTAAACCATAGGGGAAATACAAATGTTGGCACCACCTGTCGGTTTCAACTGATTGTGCCGATTTCATTTTTTCCACTGTAGATACGATTCATTGGAACATACCAAACCAGTAGTCACGCTCTCTACCAGGCGCCATCACACATCTCCGCTCCGTTTCGTCAGAAAGACAGAAACCCTTAAGCTGAATTTTACCGTTTCTGGATTACACAAATGCTTTCGGTAGTTACGGATTAGGTCGACTATCACGATTTTCGCTAATGAACACAGCCAGAGAAGTTTTTTGTCTGAACATAATATTTTGCAAGCGGTACTCGGTTCACATACCTAGGTACTGATAATGCTCATCAAAGCCTTTTCAAAAAGGTGTTTTACAAGATGCTGTTCTTCCCTTTTAGCCTTATACATCTAAGACCCATCTGCTTCTGATTCTGTGTAAGTATATTGACGATAATGTGATTGGTTGCAACCATGTCAGTTCCGAAGGTTGCGTGAAATTTCTAACTGGGCTGAACGAACACACTGGACAATTCCAGAACTTCTTTTTGAGGTGAAAATACCAATACGCCATTTCCTGCTTATTTGAATTAGGCCTAATCAAGAAATTGCTTACCACTTGTGCTGCTTCCTGGGACCCCAGTAACTTCAACTAATAACCTAAGTTGGACGCCGCGTGTTTTTAAATTATTTATTTTAAGTTTCAGCCATATTATTTTTATACTCGAGGCGCTGTGCGCTACCTACTCCCTTTAACCTTATGGACAGAAATTCATTGCTGCTTGTGTTTTTAGGATTCTTATGAGAATGAAAATGAAATAGAATGAAAAACGTCCCCAAGTTTAGTAAAATATCTAGGAAGGTCTCAGTTCTATGAGTGCCATGCAAGTTAATTGCACTTGCTCAAAGCTCTTATTTACTGATCAATACCCTTCTTATACTCGTTAGTTGCAGGCTATGGCCACTTCTTTTATTTCGTCTAAATATACGTTTGTCGACTAGAAGCACTACGTAACGGACTTCTGTTGGTCCCCACTTGGTCCGATAATTTTTTGACCCTGATTCTTTGCTTGGTTCTTCTCTGCAATGCGCCCCCGTTTATCTACTTCTTCCAGAGTGCTTCCTCTTTAGTTAAATAAAGGTATGCATACCTCTTATCCGTTATTGGTTTGTGTACCATAAGGTCATTTGTTTAGGTGTATAAATTCATTTTTAACTTTCTAATGCTACCCCGCTACCCTCAAGCTGATTGTTTCCTAACTGTGCGATGGCTGAAGAACGGAGCAGGATATAAGCAACAGCCTTACTATCACCAAACTGTTTCTACCTTAGAAACGTAAGTTACAAAACAAAGATTCTGAGAAAAAAAGTAGGAACAAACATGTCTTGGTTGCACAAATTTAAAAGCAGTTAATGGTTATGACTATCTTATCTCGAGCCACGCCAACAATAGCCATTCAATTCGAGCAGAGTGAAGCTTACTAAAGTAGGAGATACTTCCGAAAGAATTACTTCTCAAGGATCGTACACGTACTCAGCCTTGAAATTGAAGAGTTGTCTTTGTGAACAATAATGTATTACAGCTGGACCGTTCTGATGGTACCAGTTTCAAGCGGCTGTACTCTAGAAATAATTGTAGGTGTGGGTAAAACAACTACCGCATGGGTTCAAATGCAGATTGGAATGTACATTGTAGTTATTCAACATCAAGAGGACCGTTATGTCTTGGTTCAAATTTGTGGATTTTTCTGTGATCCAGTACGAAAACTGGGATCATTTCATCAGTTTCGTTGTTGACCCAGTGAGATGTACCATGTGACATATTCGTGAGTATAAACCGCAGATTATGACAAGCTGCGCCAGGTTTTCTAACCATAATAAACATTTAAGTTTTTTTACAACACCAAAAACCATTCGTGGAAAGTAACAATTTTCTTCAGGTAGAAAGTTTTTTTCCTCACTGTGGACAATGACTTCTGCTGAAAATAGTTGCCTCCATATAGCCTACCACTTCATACAGCTGGTATCTCAGTACCACTGAAATAAGCATGGCTGACCAATTTCCACAATAATGATCTGTCGCCGTTTGTTTAGTTGTGCCAATCAAATGCTGTTATTGTTGAAATCCATGAAATGAACGATTGTTGTTCACTTCGCTGACGTCACTTCTCTGTGTTTTTGGGATCAACAAGACTTAAGAAAAGAAAGATAGGCTAGTGTGTGTTAGCTGGTTACTGTTGTTGTTCTACTGGTAGCGGGGAAAAGTACAGACCAACAAAATGACATTAGTGACGATGTACCATTTTTCCACAATTGCGAGGTACCTCTAACGTGTTTTTTGTTCGATGTTAGCTTGTGCCGAAAAGTCCGCAGGGAAAAAGGCTTCCGTAGCTCAAAAACTCCGCTACTGAGTTCTTCATTTACTTGTTTTTTTTACAGAGTCACTATTATATCGCTAAACCGCTACTGATTCTTCATTTACTTGTTTTTTTACAGAGTCACTATTATATCGCCAAAAGCTTATATTTCCTTTAAACGTACCGTTTTACTTCGATTCGGTACAAAGCAGCCATCAAACGTAAGATTGACTTCGTCAAAATATCTGGTTTCCTTTTTAGTTTGATTTCATTGGCCGCGAACTCTTATCCGTCATCTGACTGATCCGTTACCGTTATACACTTGTTACTTTTAGTCCAGATTTTTGTCATTGACTCATCAAATATATATGATCCTCCTGGTTTGCGATGGTTGATGAGATGCTGTACTTTACTATTTCTCCCAGTCCTTACTCGTCCATCCATAAGGGTGTATTCAGCCTTCAAAATCATCTGGTTCTGTGTATTAATGTGATTCTGTTCAGATAATACACCACTTAGGACGAAATATAGTCTCGAGTGATTTATTCGACTTTATTAACGTCATTGGTTGACATCTACCAGTCAACAGGTAGCATATGCACAATTAAACCATAAGCCGTTTGCACGGGAATCAGTGTGGTGCCACATGTAAGCTGCTGGTGCTGATTTTAACTCAAGGAAATAAGGTCAATGGGTAGCCATGCAGAGGCCTGTTGAGATCCATCAGCCGGGGTTAGCACGACTGCACAGTGAGCATCGTCATCAGTTCCTTTATACCAAAACGTTGGCCTCTTCCACCTATCCATTCGAATTTCAGCAGAATACTGCCGTTCTAAATGGTCTGCCATAAAAGTGCACTCTAAAGGAAGCTCATTACTGTGCCATCTGAGTGTGAATGGGCAGCTGGATGGTGAAACAATGGTCAGGTCACTACTATCACCGTATGACAGTGGAGTGGGACGGGTACTGATCAGTGTGGGCTTACATTATACGGATGCAAATTAGAAATGAGGAAAGCTTATCTGGACGATTCGTCGGCGCTTCCGTGGCTTGACCTTTTCGAATCATGCGCTTGTGCTTGAGTCTTGCGATGCGTCGCGCCTCAAAACGCTTCAGGTTTGTGCAGACAGTAGTTCGCCAGGCTGTTCCACTCGGTTCCCCATCTCCCCAGGACATGAAACCAAGCTTGCGGCTTTCCGAACATACTTGAAAGCTGTCACAGGGGAGGTTGACTGAGGTTGACCTTCGCCCTTCAATCTACCGTACTAATTCTGACTCGGAATGCGATTATCCGCCGTTCGTTTTACGTGGCCTGTCTTACTGGTATTGTTTCAAAATCAGCTCAACTTCGTTTACTTTTACGCGTTTGAGAACCTCAGGTTTCGAGAACTAAGCTGACCGGTTAATTCCTTGTGTATTGTGTAGGCTTTGTCAGTGGAAGTTGTCATGCCTCAGCAGTGCCCACTTTTCACTCCCATATAGAAATGAATACAGTCTGATAACTCGCTACGCTGTGACCTTGATGTCCACACGCGGATTGTGATTATTTGAAACTTATTCGTACAGTCGACTGAAGGCTGGCTTGGCAGCACGAAAAAATAGTTCGTAACGTTTGTCAATTCTGTGGACAGGGTATACACAAGTACCAGAAATTTCGGGATATACTATGCCGAGTCATTGATTTAATTGCAGATCGTCTGTTACAGTCTGCTGCTGAACGATAAGTGTTTAGAAACATTTGGCTTCACGCCAAAGCGCAAAAATGCCAATACAAATACTATGGTAATTGCGATTCTCCTTCCGAATATGTGAAAAAATCACAGCCATCCATAGAAGGCAGATAGGGATTCTCGGCTTGTGCAACTTTTTTTAGTCCATGAAGCGTTCGGAGCTGACGAAATGACCGTCTTGACGGTCATTGACGATCTTGACGGGCACAAGATCTACAAAATCACGAAAAGAGTCTGCACAAATCGCAGTAAGATATACATTAAGTAAATTTGGGACCAGTTTTGTGCCAGTTTCGCATTCAACACAGGTGGTTCCACAGAAGCGTACTATGCCCGCTTACTCGGGTGCAAAGATAACGTTGGCAGCGTTTCGGGACAGTTGAGCTTTTGGAGAATGATTCACATAGTGTGCAATGGTTCGTTATCTTCCTGGGATTTTTCTTCCACCTGACGAGCTGCGAGATCGATTTTGATACGTCCGATTCTTATTCTCCATTGCGCCTCAGGAGTAGTAGTAAGCTTGCCAAGCTTTTATCTGTAGTGCAGAAAAACTGGTTCCCCGACGGCTGATGGTTTCATATCACATCCCCTTTACTTTGAACAGCTGTAGTTCCATGATGCATTTCCACTATCCTGGATTTTGCAGTCAGGTGAAAAACCTCTTCCACTATCGGTCCTCCAAATTTAAATACTCCAATAAGTCGTCAATTTTTCATGTCTACCTATTAAGCCATCATTGTACAGAAAAGCTCAGTGATGTCTGGTGCTAGCCATACCTGAGTGTGTTCCCTAGGGCACCTTGTGAACGCCGTGGGGCCACAAGATGACTTGTTTCATCGGTTGTGGGGTTCAGTCGTTAAATCGTGCCCACGCAAACTGACATCTGTGAACCACCAGTTTGGCATGCTGATACGTTTAGAAGTGTCCATCCCTATTCCCACTCCGGACTTGTAACCCAAGCTTTTCACCATTACAGGACCTTCAGGTGGAGGCACATTCACCTCATTGAAAACTGAGGGTGCTATCATTTATTGTGCGTGCGTGCTCATCCGCTACGCCCGATACGACAGACCAATTCTGAAACGAATGTTATATCGTGAGAAGGCACCACAAGAAGTTATCACAAATACCAACCTAGTCTAAAGTTTCTGATGGATATTTTAGCCTTATATATGGTTTTTGCAAGTTAGTAACTGTTTCATCAATCACATGTCTTTTCGAGCCATATAATCGATAAACAGTATATCTCTCCATAAATGTGGGACGCAGTTCTTATCACAGGCATGATAAGGATCTAAGCAAACATCCATTGAGGCAAAACAGTTTCTGATATTACGGAATAAATTTCAACGTGAAAAAACAGTTTTGATGTCGATGTGTAATCTTTTTTATTGGCTGGAAGAAAACATGGGCTCCAAGAAAAACCCGGCTAAATATCATTTAGAACTTGATATATCATCCCCAAATAACAGTGGAGAAACGTTTCTGAAGAGGCTAAAGGTCTGAGAGGCAAGTGTCGTCGCTCTTTTACTTGGTTTATATAATTGTATGATTTTTATAATGCCATATTCTGATACTCTTGCTCAAGGTCCGAATCGACCATTCAAACCTCAGAATTTGTTATTCGCAAGCGCTGATCCTATGAGTAAAGCAACGACGAATCGTACGGATTACAAAGACTGGGGACCAAGTTATCCTGAGCGAGGAGCTAAACCAGAATACAAACCATTAGAAGGTGACCAGTCGTTTGACAGTACGTATCGCAACGACTTCAATGAGGTGGGTGCCATTTGACTGATCGATCTCTCGTTTACTGCGTCCGCTTTCTGTTCTTTTTGCAACGGCTACATTTTTTTACCAATTTTTCGTTAGATCGATGCTCTTTAACCTAAAAATTCTGTTTTGAACGCAAAAATACGTTTTAACTATTGGTGCATCCATTTTGTTTTGATGGAAAATATTAGCAAAACATTGCTGCTAATCTTATTTTAGATTGATCGATGAGCACGTAGTGCCCGACTGCCATTATACCTACTAATTAGTGTTTATCGAACACTCATAAATAAACTGATCTGTACGCTTTCGGTCAACCAATCACACCAATCACACACTTTATAGTAGGGAATTCGTGTACGAGGAGTTATATGTATACATGGGATTTTTCTCTACTCAGCAATGAGGACGCTTTATTCGTTTAGAAATTTCGGAAAACAAGGCAGTTATTCCACCAGTTACATCAAGGTTTTCGCCACCGTCACCTTCATAGATGGAGACCTAGGGGCAGATGATAAATAATTAGACATGCAGAGGGATCTTTTCCAATTATAAATTTAGTAGCGTGGATGCGATGTGGCTGTAGGTTTCAATGGACAGAAAACTGTGCCCGATAGTAGAATTAATAAGAAAACTGTGAAAGGTGAATTGACCGAGACGAAACCCCGAGTTTATGCTCACGTATTCTCGGAGATGAAATCACGAGGCTTTTGTTAGTGCCCATGGCAGAATGGTGAAAACAGAATATGGATGAACTCGAAATAGCTTTGGCAATACCGATGAAAAAGAGGACTGCCTCCACAAGAATTGCCACAGATTCTTAAAAAAGTCGTTACTTGAGACAATAATGACCAGAAGAATGAGAAATGCTATTGCTGCTAAATAGTGTTGCTGAAGAGACGTTATTATTATTGTAAAATCCTGCGATCAAGAATCAGAGGAGGATTCCGACTTGTTCGCATCCCATGTCTGCGCCATTTAATTACCCAAAATGACCTGCAGACACAACCATCAAAAGCCTCACAATCAATCAATTTGGTGTGCTTGTGAAAGTGACATTTTACCTAAAACGTCATCAACTATGAGCAACCCTCATAATTCTCTCTGTAATCCTCATTATATTTCCTCGAAGTCCCTCAGGATCGTGTGTATCATCTGAGTTCAGTGGGTTCTCGGCTTCTGCATTGGACCGGCCCGTTGTCAAGATCACTTCGCTGTACATGTGATCGTGGTCGGAGACTATGGAAAGCGTCTTGCGTACATTGCCTGCCAGATTGATTGAAAGCAAGCCCGTCCACAGCAGGCTAATTAAGCGCTAAACTTCCGCTTGTAGGCCCAGTGCACTGCAGTTGTCCTGTACAGTACTCACTCCCTCGAGGGAACACTTTTTAAGATTTCAGTAAGACTTTCCAACAAGTATGCACGCGGAAAGAATGACTAATTAGAATTGCGTCTCGAGTTTCTGCAGTGTGTTAACGAAAGTTCGTGTTTTCCCGCATGTTTTGAGAAGAATTTTTATGCAACAAACTTTTCATTTCGAAACGATTTAGTACTTTTGCACTTTTGAAAAAGGTAGATTGGCAAATCCTGTTGAAATTCTGCACTTGTCATCAGCCTCCAAACCATGACCTGACGAAACATTAAATTCAACGTGAACTAGGCATATCAAACCGATGCTAATTGTTCCTGGGTTCCAAGGGTTTTGGGGCTATAACACGAGTAGATTACCAGTAATATGACAATGAGACCGATAAAGGTAACCCAAATACCTAATATAATTTTACATTAGGTCTCTTGATACAGATATGAGTGAGAAATAAATGGGCGCCAAATAAGTACCAGCACTTACAAAAATGCCAAAATCGACCTGTGTGCAACTGGATTCCAATCTCTAGTGTACCCCAATCAGAAAGATTTTTAACGTAACGTGGTTATCAAAAACCCATGTGTACAGGTGGGGTTACATCAGATGTGTCATAAGATATCGGCCTATAATACACCACTTCCTTACTAAGGGAGGGTTTTTTTTAAGATTTCAGAAACCTGCCCACTGTGCGCTGGAGGTGTAAAAATATTTCAGTGTTTGGTCATCGATGTTTTTGGAGGAATGCCTGAGTCTGGTGGGAGCATCGGATCAGTGATGCTGAATTTCGTCAAATGGTTTTCGGAGGAAATAACTCACTCACGACAGAAGAACTGATCCCATTCCATAGGTCGCGCTAGTTTGGTCAGGCTCTCCGAGTGCCAGTTGATCGAATTCATCATGCAGCCATTTCCGGACAACCACACAAAGGGCCAGGGAAAGTCAACTAATTACTTTGCAGTGAAGTGTGAAATTAATTACCTGCAAGTTCCGCTGTGTCGGCAGCTATAACCGCCGTATGGATTGTGCGCTTTACCGATGCTGCTGTTGCTGCTAATGTCGATGGAGAATTAAGGACAGTACTTCACTTCTGTTAAATGGCAAGCAGGCACGTAGATGTAGTTTGTCCTATTGCCACTTGACGAGTCTGAAATTAAGAAAGACGCTTTGTTCAGGGGAAACCTTGCTGGTGAAACGGGTCAATCAGTTGGGATCAAATGAACCCAGTTGCACACGCTGTACTGATATACATGGAGATACACAAATCTCGGTTTGAATCATCTGAAAGCAATCAGCTATTTAGTTTACTGAGAAATTAAGGCACAACGTGTGGGAAGTAATTTCTGATACGGAATCACCGTTTATTCAGTATGTTACAAGAAGACATGAAAATTTATTTCTCACATTTTCCCCGGCTTACCGTTTCAGAAACCAATTTGTCCAGTTGTTAACGTCAAACCATTTGAACCAAAGCGCTGCGACGCTAAATTCGACGATTTAACAAACTACAGACATGAATATAAGCAATGGGAAGTACCTCCACCAAAGCCCGCCAAAAAAGATGAATGGGCACCTTCTGATGCGCCATTTGATGACTCAACAACTAATCGGGTAAGTCTTTGTAGCGGCCAAAAACATTGGATTAAACATTGGCTCACCGTTGAATCCTATGCATGCACATTATATAAACACTGTGCGAACTATATATATACATATACATTTATATATAAACAAAACACGAAAATCCTACCCACGATAGCACTGCTTAGGTTAATGCGATCGAAAGTTGATCTGCTCCGTGGCAAGGATCATGAACATTTAGTACCCCGGGAATATCCCAGAAGTTCGGTTGCATGCACACAGTCTCTATTGCAAAGTGATTCGTTTTTAAGAGCCCTGTCGGAACCGGGAAACGCCGATCGTGGCGAATGTGAAGGTCACAAAGTATCAGTCTTTGTGGACACGTATTGTGGAACCTCCGGAAGGCTAAGAAAGAATCGTAGTGATGGAGAGCGAGTTTAGCAGCTAACTACAAAAATATGGACATGCCCGACCGATCCATCGGATGTCAGACCGAGTAATAAACCCAAAGTAGTTGAAGTCAGCAATGCTAGGGTTGGGATGGTGATTCACCCCGCTATTAAGCCGTACTAATGGTGCATATACATGGCAGTTTACTTTTGGCGTGTACTGTGTCTGGCCTGCAAATTTTCCTGTACCGTTTCTTCGGTCAAACATGACTGGAGGCGATCACATAAGGAAGTATCCTCCATAAACTAATACCAAGCTCAAACTGGAGGATTTTTGCGTGTGCAATCCTGTCAGGAATGGATAGGAAGGATAAGGAAAAGGGAAAGATATCTTATGGATTCATCTCATTGTTTGAAAACCGATTTCGGCCGGAAGGAGAGATCGTCTTAAGTTTGGATGTTCTCTAGTACTCACTAAATCTTACACTGACATTCTATTGAATTCGATTTCTGCCGATGAAACTAAAAGAAAATGACTTCACAGGGAGCCTTTCAGAGGACACCACTATTGCTGATGTAAAGAATGACTTGAGTAGCATATTTTAAGTGACAGAAAAGTTGAATTTGCCACTTGCACACTTCTTAAAAGTTTCTACAGAGTGAAGCGTCCGTACGGTTCTTACAAGCATGAATAAGATTATTAATTCACACCACATTCATTTGAACTATCTTTCCATTGTCAGTTGCTATCAGTCCGTTGAGTTCACAGCAAATCGTTGTGCGGTGGACTCGAGTTTTGGGTTAATTACACCCCATCATCTGTGCACACCCTTGGCCTAGTCGGGATTTGAAAGCCAGTCATCTGACATGCGAGGAGAGCTTCTTACCGCTACTCCAGCAGGTACGCTGGCAGCGCCTGAGTTAGCATGTCGAAATAGGGGTGTGTTCAAGCCTGGGGAGTCGGGCTTGCCTGGCTCGAACGATGGTCTCCTAGTTAGGTAGCGTCACGGATGGCTCATTAAGGGCGAAGGAGTATCGAAGGGACTTCAGCGACCTGAATAATGTTCCGCCAAGAAAGTATATTGAGATACCACATGAAGCATGAGAGGGCCTTGGTGCAGCAGATGCAATTCAAGAATACCATAAATGAGGGGTTCAGCTGGAATTCAGTCATGTTTCCTGATAAAACCGAATCATTGTGCAAAGTGTATACTACGCGGGTTGTGTACAGTTTGAATTGAAGCGAAAAATAATATTGACGAAAACTTGGCAATTGCACCCACTTGATAAGCGCCCAGAAAGGTGAAAGTGATCATGGACTATTGGAAAGTTTCCAGCCTATTTCTCAGTGGTGCTCCGTCAAGAAAACCCATTTTGGCCATTGGGATAATCACCAGAAGCTATATATTGCGGAGAAGCTGAAAGGTGTGCGTCTCAAGCGCATGAGCTCACTAGAGAGTGCGATGACTTTTTCGACTGCTTTGCATAGGGCCTTATATCCTTACTTATAAGCGTATGGTCCATCAAGATATTGTGCTTAAACAGCCTCTGGGTGATGGAGAAGGGGCAGAATAAACAATAAATAACTTTCTGCCCATGATCTGTGCAAACAGCTATCAACCCTCTCTCGCTGTATTGCAGCTCTGTTCTATATCAACAAGAACTGTCGAGTGGCTTGCGGAGGACTGGGGTTCATAGAGTCGGTCGTTACGTCGACTATATGGTGCGCCGTTCAGACGCGTCAGTTAATGAATGATATTTCGTATTCATATTTGATAGATGAGAGTACGAAAGGGTTTAGTAGACGGATCTGTGAGCAAACCCGAACGGTTCAAGCAGCCCATTCGCCAGTTCTTCAGTAATCAAGCAGCTATATTTAGAAAAATATTCAGTCTTGTCAAACTCGATTATAGGACACTACATAAACTCACCGTCAGTCTTCTGGTTCGCTTAAGTTTGGTTGCATTAGCACTGATCGGTAGGCATTCTGCATTAAATCACTGTTCAGCAGTAAGTGGATTGCCTATCGATTCGACATCGTCACAGTTGATGCGCTGATACGAGGCACCAATAGGTCTGTCACTCCCAGTCCGGTAGTTTACAATATTGTGGTAAACCGATTACGCCTTCCAATTAGTTGTTATGACCTTCCCACGATTGCAGTTCATTCAGTGTATTCCATAACTTTGGCTACATGATTAGCTGTGCTGATCTCAAATGTCCCGGGTCCTATAAGCTCTACAATGTCGCTAACAAAAATGAAGTTGAACAATTCAATCTGAAGTGAGAGTGAGAGTTGTGCAAGGGTCACAAGTTTCGGGACGGCGCGTACCATAGCCGGCTTTTCCAGGAATGAATCCGAAGAAAAAAAGGCTGACTGCGAGCTCCAGATGAAATGTATCTGGTTCTATTCAGAACTCGAAAATTACGCTACGATATGAATGTCCAAACATAGTCATCTTACGAATTTGTCACCATTTTACTACCCACTGGTCACATTAAATTTCACAATATCAGTGTTGTTTCATATCACTTATTTAACGGTTGCGAAGTTCATGCGCATAGTCTAGATGAATGTCAGATTGTCAGAAAATGTCGGCGACGAAAACCGTTCAAACCCGAATTACGGAAAATCAGTACCTGAAATTTGTAACTCAAAAAAAGATAGACATTGACATGGTCGTTGGCTTGTTCGCTGAGCTGGGCAATTTGGTTGCAAACGTCTCATCACCAATCGAGGTGACATCATCAGTGCGTAGTTGTGCGTAGCGGTGGGTTAGTGGTTGACATCCTGGTTTAAAGAGACACGATTGAATTTTTCCTTTAAAAGGACCAAGTGACGCTTGTGTATAGTTTCCAAAATAATGAAATCACTTGCGAATTGCCATCGTCAGTATGGTACAACGAAGCATCGGTATTGAAAACTGATGTCATGCTGTCGATGGTGATGATGATGTTGACGATAATGATGATTATGATGATGATGATGATGATGGTGATGGTGATGATGATGATGATGATGATGATGATGATGATGATGATGATGATGATGATGATGATGATAGTATGGTTCTACTGAAATGTGCACTAGTATGAAGTCGCAATCGTCGGAGGAATCTTGCTCTTCAGCATCATGCCCTGATCGTCTCCAATAAGGAGCTGATCCACCCTATTATCCCATCCTGTAATAATTTGTGGATTTCGAGGGTATTTAGGAGTGATCAGAGTAAATGCAGGTTGTACCTAAGAACACACTCTGCCTACCCTAGTTTAGCACTCAGGACAAACGACGGGGTATAATCAGACTGCAGCTGCATTGGGACTGGACGACCGAGTTGCCGTCTGATTGTTTTTGCGAACTGTTTCCCTGAGGGCGTCATCACGGAAACGAAGCATCACTTTTGAATACTCAATACTGGTTTGTGTAACAACGCTATGCACGGAGTTTTGTCTGACTATCAGGAGAAATCACTGTGCAAGACAATCTCCTTAACTCGGGACTCTCTGAGCCACCTAAACAAGTAGAAAAGTACGATCATTTACCAGGTCAAAATTCAAAACAAGACTTTGTGCGAATGACCCTCTCTGAAGTTTGCTTGCAAAAACAAAGTAATCGAATATACAAAACAAGTAAATCAGTCACACCCAGTGACCAAGCTATAAACAAATGTAGAGGACTCTTTTTGGTTAATTCGAACAACAAAATTTCTGTTTCTGGTTGGCCGTCCTTGACCTCACACCTACACAACCCGGGCAACAAAGAAGGAATTTTCCAAATCACGAGAATTTCAACAAAATTCGCTTCTACTATCCGACAGCTTTCAAATGTTGCACTTGCTACGGCATAACAAAACGCTCACAGTAATTTCAGCGGAAACCAGCGTTGTTTTCTTTTTTCCAATCAACAACAGCCGGGGCAAGAGTGGCTGTCCGGCTAAGAATATAGGCTCAATAGAAGGCTTAAAATGATGAAGCCATTTCAAAGAGATGCTGCCTATTTCTTGATTTTAGCACATTCTCTTATGTATCATATGTTTTCCTGGTATATGGAGGATATCAGCGTTTGGCTCAAACGAGGGACTCGGTGGATGTTACTTGGCGATCAGTGCACGATCCAGCACATGTGTATTACGGATCGGCGTCTTCGGTAGTTAAACTGACTGTGCGTTGGTCAGGCGGCAAATGGTAGTGCATCGAGTCACGTGTACCCGTCACTGTACTTTTATTTGCGTCTTGCATACTTTTATCCACGTTCAGGGCTTCTGCAGTAACCAAGATGTAGACATTTTACGATTGCCCGGTTACCTCCTTGGCTCCACTATCTTCTACGTCCCCTCCCAGGTCAGCTATGTTCCACACCCATGCGTGGTTGCTCCACAACCAATTACTCCGAAGCCTCAGTCTTGGTACAGTGGTCCATTTGATGATCGCACAAACTACCGTACCGAGTACGTCCCGAAGGAGGTCTGTCCTTGCTGTCCTGCAGGATTTCTACCGACTGATGACGTCAGTCCCGATGGATATGTGTTTGATGTAAGCTTTGTTCAACAGATCTGTCTTACACATTGTCACTCATTAGCGTCTCTTCCTACTACGCCAGGTATATTACGTGAATTAAAATGTCTAGTCGTATACCTAGCCACTTTGCTGACTTCCTTAGTTTGACCGTCAATCTCAAATGTCTTACGGAAGTTCTTCTGCTTGTGATGAAAATCACACACAGTTTCTAGGCAGAAGACCTTAATTTAAAATTTGTGTAAAATTTGAAATCATCGGAGTAGCAGTGTAAATAATACCAGCGTTTGTGTGTAATCGAGGTTTACTGAAGTAAGAAATTCCTGTCGTGTAGGAATTGTGGTAGCAGAAAATGAGAGGTTTTGCTAAAATATTTAGCTGTAACTTGTAACTCCTTCACGCTGATGATTCGGCTTCACTGACGTCATGAATGATAGTAGCCTGGAGCCGATACAGGGTCTGCAGATACTAAGATCCAGTAATGGTTCCAATGACAAACCTCATAAATCGCCTGAATGGTCAAAATCATCACACCAGGTTTGCAGCAATGACCAGTGTTTTCAGGTGGCAGTGTGATCGGCGTCACTACTAAGCATGGGGCTGAAAACAAAACTATTGGAATTGTGAGCACTGTCTCAGAAAAAGCAGATAACAGATGCTGAGTTCCCATTAATTTCTACCTTATTAGTATATCTGCAATAATAGAGCCTAGTGTATCCAGCTTTTCTTTCACCGGGGCATTCAAGTAGCCCACACTGACATAGAAACAAGGTCGGTCGTTTTTGGAGTGATTAGAACTTTAGCATGTGAGTATAAAATCCCATACTTTTGTAATCAAAAGTACATACTGTTCGCCCACAGCGTTTTTAATGGTGGACGCGACTGCCCTCAGTTCTCAAACTCACTGACAACTGACCCTTTATCAGTGTTTGACGGAAACTGACGATGTTTCCTACTCTGCAAGCACCCACTTTTGTCACACCTAGTTACACAGTCAGTGAAGTGTAAATTAGACCATGATGGAAAATAGCTTGATGCTAATTGTTATCCCAGAGCTTGGGTTTTAAGGAAAAGGATTTACAAGCGTTTATGTAGACATAATTCTAACAGTTTTTGCCTTCGCGTACCTCATTGAGCATGCTTTATGTAATTCTTTTGCATTAAAAGTATTAAAACTATTTTCAACTGTCCTATATGGTTCCAAATTTCTCACGTCTGATTTATCTTCTCCAGCATTTTGACGAACGTGGACATCAAATATACCGAAATGTCACCGGTGACAAGAACACATTGCCTCTCCTTCCGGTGAAGTAATCTTCCACACAGTCTTACAAAACAGTACCAGTGGAGAGGGGAACACGCCGACCTCTCCACTAGAACAATCAGGTAGTTTAATTTCGGCCACGTCATGACCACATCAAATGACCTTAGACGTGAGAGTATCATGAAGTAAACAGGTACATTATGAACTGACGCATCCTCACCATACACCTTATTGTCTCGAAAACATTTGGTGGAAGCAAATTCAACTAACACTCACCTGTAGACTCTACGTGCCTTATCAGTTTTTCCTGATGTGAATAAGTGGCTGTTCGCCTAAGACGTGTGCCGACTGGATACTCCATCTGAACTTTTTTGCCGCACTACCAAAAAGAGGAATATTTTGGCAAAACCGTTGAATTTTATGCCACAATCTTGGATAAAACTGTGGTTTGCTTAAGCTCGTTCGAAACAAGCAAATAACTATGGGCAGCTACGTACATAAAATTCACGCTCAGCCAATTCAACAGATAGGTTGCGAAGTTATGCTGTCGACACTAGCGTAGTGACTGAATTCTTGAGTAACCCAAGAAGACGACGGACAACTTGCAAAATCCATGGAGTAGAGTAACGGCATGTGATCATTGGAAAAGCTGCTCAAGCACTACATTGCGAACGCAGTGAAAGGCCTCATGATTTAACCTGGGGGATTTGTAATACTTTCTGAATTATAAAGACCCTCTTCACAGCAGAGTTCATACAATGTGCACGTGCTTGGGTTTTGACATTTTGGTATAAGCAAGATCTGCACATGAATCACTTACAAGCGAAGAAGTTCAAAGGATATCGGAGAGGATCATGCATGCGCTTTTTTCAAAATGAGGTGTACAAGTCCACTGATAAAGTGAATAGTGAAGAAGCATGGATACTGGGGATCACCGCAAAAAATCAAAGCACTAACCTGGTTAAAGCTTCCTGAACTGTGCAACATACTGCCTTGTAGACTGCTTCACAGTAACACGAAACCTGATCACTCTAGTAGGTAAGGACAGCTTTTGGTCCGCTTGTTGTGATCACTTGATAGAAACGCGTAATCATTATTCACTGGTATGTTTTGTTGCGTTAAGCGAGAGTACTCAAGACAAATTAAGTCTGACTTTCAAGCTCTGATGTATGCCCGAGAAACGTTTGAGCGTCCAATTCTAAGAGCAAGAGGACGCATTTGAGAAATTCCGATGGTTCTCTTAGAAAAAAATGTTCAAAACTTATACACTCTCACGCGTTCGAGATTTAAATTTGCTAGAAGTAGTTCGGTAGCATTAAGGAGGTCCGGACAACCAGTGAAAAGCGTTGAAGTACAGACGGCCTATAACGGAACGTGGAGTGACGTTATTCGCTGCACGCCCCGTGAAACGAATTACTTTTTCATCTCTCACAGTTTTGATCTTGTTATATTCTATGGAAGATAATCCTACCAGCTCCCTAGTTCGTTCCGTTGCGCTGATAAGAAGGGAACCTTCGTGTGACAGCCAATACAATGAGCAATGTTTAAGTCGACTACTAAAATTAGTCATACGAGAATGAAACTATTTCAGACACTTGCAGTGCATAATGTCGTCAAAAAATGACGAACATGTGCGACTACATCAACCAGTCTCAGAAAGTACAGCCTTCATCATCATCATCGATGACAAAACACGAGTGACAAATAGTGATTCTAAACTGCCATTAGAGTGGAATGACAGTGGAAGGGTGAGGAATTTCGTATTCCTATAGAAAACCACCATATGGAGTCGGGGCGCCATGAGTGAGATTGACGCACCGTTTATTTGCGAACCCTGCGCAACAAAGTCCAGCGTAGGATGGCAGATAAAGTTTGGCTAACCAGTTCGACTAGGAACTGATAGAATACTGGTCAATAGGACCGGCTGCCTACCATATCCCATGCGGTTTCTAACCAAGTGCAAGTGAAATTTCATGGTCCCCAACCAAGAAACAAAGGTTCTACAGCACTGGGTTTCCTGGTAGCAATCTTCTTTTGGCGTCGGCAGGTCTAATAGATCCTTTCGTCAATAAAGTTGGATTTTGTTTGGTAGACAGGAGTTGAGCATGCGTAGTACACCTCCCAAACATTCTAAATAGGTGTGTTTTACATTATACTCCAAAGATTATAATTCATCACCAAAACCTCGTTTACGCGACACTTCATTTCAAAAGTGCAGCAGCCAAATAACGTCTGGTATACTGTGGATCCATCAATGATCAAAGGTTTTATCCTGCTTAGAATCCTCCAATTAGATGATTAAAGTTTCGAAACTATAGACTAATGGTGTTCTCACGGCTGACTCGTGTACATGGCCAGAGAAATGCTTTTCTGACGTCATAAGTAAAACAGGTTTTAGACATTATTTTGCTCCTTATAATATGCACTTCGAATTCTTTAATCGCGGTATGGTCATGTTTTATGCAGCTGCACAGATTCACTACCGGGTCTAAATAGAAGTTCATTTGACCTGGCTGCCAGGGGGCAATTATTATCATTTATTTTTGAAGAGCATGGTCACAAACATAAAAAGTGAGTGCAAGCGATGAATGCGAAAGTGTAACAGGGGAATATGGGAGAAAAGAGAGAAACGTCTCATTCGAGATCATGCCAAGGGCAGTGCCAGTCTGATGAGGTGAATCCCAAAGTATGTAAAGATTCCGGTATGGGAACACGCGTCTAAGGACCAACAACCAAAGAAAGGACAAACAATGGTGAATGCTCTTCACGGCGCAGTAGGCGCTAGCACAGTCAAGACTCGCACATCAGGCACAAAGTGGCCGTCATACTGGGTCTGGGGTGAGATTAAATGGCAAAAATGTACCTTCAACGCCATGTGCCACGCATAAAAGTGTCATAAGTACGCAGGGAGCCCACAATGGCAAGCAAACACAAGTCACTGACTGCGACCTTGGGAAGTCCCAAAAGCATACTAGTACCTAATCAACTGAAGAAAGATATAAATTCACACGCCACAGCTTGAGTTTGGCCAAATGGAAGGATAGAGGCCAATGGCCAACCAAACTAGTGTTTAACATGTTCTAAGCGATATAAACATTGGTCTTTGTTATATACTTGGTTTCCACCATTACCTGTGATTGGCTCAGCAATAGACAGTGTCCTTGGCCCTGTTTTTCGCATCAGATTCCGCCCATTCCATTTGTCGAAATAGATGGCTACAACAAACCTCCCTATTCGCACAACACTTCACTTGAGTTGATCTGTAACAGGACGACTAACCGAAGGATCTTAGAGTGCCGAGGATAAACATCATTATGTATCAAGGCATAACTACCATCTGAGATCCCGTGATTAATAAATGTACACTAGGAAATACCACATACTAGGTTTTCAGTATCACATATAGCGGTTATCCCATTCAGGTTGCGACTGTCTTTTGTATATGCCTTTTGAATGATGAAATGATAAACGTCCTTGTTTGCTTGATACATGGCTCGGAAAACTTTCCGATCGCTAAATGTGACGTTTCCTTCTTAGGTTTACCCGGGAAATTCAGCAAAAATCTACATCGACTGAGGGTACAACCTGAACTAACATGCGTGCACAAATACGATCGACAGTTGGAATTTTCTCTATTGATTATCACTCCAGAAGTCCATCACGTAACCAGAGTTACGGCTATTTGGTGTATAGACGGAAAGTACAGTGGTTAGCATTTAGAACGGGGAGACCTCTTATAGATTTGGGCACATGAACGCCACTAAGACGGCTATTTGCAGCCATTCATTCAAGCCCCAGCTCAGTAGCTAAGAAACCATATCAGGTGTGAATAGTATAAATCACTCACTCCTTTCCACTCCGACTATATCCACAAGGATCGTTCAGCTGCAACACCCTTTCGGTGCCTAGCCGCCATGCCACCAGAAGGATGAGCGAGGGCTGGGATACTGTCAGGTTGCCCAAGCCTAGACAGGGAAGTCGACAGGCAGAGGTCGGGTTCGAAACACGGACCTTCTGGTCAGTAAATTCGCGCCCTAACCCCCCATCCACAATATAGAACCTTGAGTAGTATTCTATGGTAGAATTGCCGTAATGAAAGCTCTAGCTGTGTTAAGTTCACTTGTACCATCACCAGTCAGACGGAGTTCAGAACTTCCGATCGCGGACGGGGTTTTAGAAGGGATGCCTCAAACCAAACTGCGCCTTGATCTAACTATGCGACCTAAATTGCCCATAGTATCTTAATATGCTCTACTATATTTATATACAAGTGTAACAGAATCAATTTCCTACCTCCGATCCTCGCGACAAACTGCGGACACAATTCATTCACAGGAATTCGTAATTTAGTATTGGCTAGTACACTTTTCGATTATCTTCGACTTGATCGTATAGATTGGTGCGAAATCCACTAAATTTTTGAAACGAAAAGAACACCACCAGACTCGATGGTTTAGACGAATTCTCGATCGCGTCACATGCTTGATACTTGTCAGCAATCCAAACGAGTCGATTCAAGTTATCTGCAAAGTACCTAATAGACTGCTAGTGTCGATTAAACGGTTGCCTGAATACAGCCGAATAACCCACAGTGCGATTGTCAAATCCAGTACAATGTTGTCAAGAACGACTTGCACGGTCTCCGAGTCTGCCTTGGTACCTTGAAACGGACTGATCAACACAGTCGCTCAACGACCCTGTAGGTCACCTCACAGCAATCACATAAATGGGACTTATTGACAAGCAATAGTCCGTGATCTCTAACTTATTAATCTTGGCTATTTCTATTATTTACTCATATTTTATCTGATTGATATGTACTGACCTGACGATCAGATCCAGAAGACACTAACGTTCGTCACCTTGTTCAACAAATTCTTCTAAAGCTCAAGTTGTTTGGACAAAACACACTCATTTGCATACTTCGTTTTTGTTACCGAGAGGTCCAGACGAATCTATCGTTTGATATTCAACTGAAAGTCCTGCAAAAGATCGCCGCGTTTCAGCTGGTAAGATATTCCAGACATTGCTGGATATTTTCCTGATACCCTGAGGACTAGGCCTGCATTGTGATCACCAAGATGGACCAAACCGACTGTGAGCAATAGGAGAGTTTCGTACAATGTTGTGAGTAGTGTGTTCTTTCATTGTTCAGAAACCAAGACTGAAAAGTTCACAAGATGTATGATTGAAACCCCCACCAGTACTATCTCAGTTCGACAATGTGAAGCGAGATTGGTGTAATCTTTAATCCATTGACGTACGCCGTGAATATGGTGAGATGTTTGGGCCATCGGCTTTGATCGTATTCAGCCAAATCGATAGCTCATTGGCAAACTGAAGAGGGTCACCATAAATCACAGTAAGCAAGAACTTGAACGGGTTATTATTTTTAAGCCCTACCATTCAAGACTGACAAAATAAGGGCGTTTAACCCGATAATATTCAAATGTAAAAAAATATGTACAGGTTACAAGGTCAGATGACCATGTTAACAATCATGCATAGCGGCGCCTCATAATCTCATCAGGTAGTCTCCATCACGCAAACGGTGCGGGTTGTTGGTTGACACGGGATGCCAGGTCTGATTCTGAGTTATGTAGTCTCTCACCTGAAACCAAGAGAAAAACATTGTAATAAGATGTGGAAGTATGACTGTGGTTCCCTATCTTCGAGCAGGTATCGAGTAAAGTCATTTCATGTACCTATCGCTGAAATGAAAAAGGTGTGGGATCTGAAACACGAGTATATCCACACACTGGTCTAAACTGTACATTCGAGCACCTTCAAGAGAAAAACCTGGGACTGTAGTCTGGAAAGTCCAATACCTCCAAAGGGTTACACCTAAGGAAATTCAGTATGGCATTGCGGGCGGCGAGATAGGGAGTGGATACCATGATGAAAGCAATGCACTAAACAATCAGAATGAACACAACTGAAACGCCGTTCAATGGACCAGAGTTGAGATCACATACGAGAGTATACAAACAGCCCGATACATCGAACAGTTACTTACAAGTATTCTGCTATTTTTACACGAAATCGAAAGTATTTAACGCTGACTGTAAAGAGGGGGTACCATAAGGAAGATGGAACCTATGCAATGACATTAAACTTCCAAAAATGCATCACTCTACAATACCTACCACTAACGCGCTGACAATACACCACAAACTGATCACTCCGTGAACCGTATTGTTTTCACCCCGTCATATATTAGAAACTTCACGAAAATGGACCTTGACATGGTATGCCGGTTTGTGTGCCTCCGTAAACCACTGATTTATACTGGGGGGGGGGTCCATGCGACACACGCAGAGTCTCTCGTACTAGGTTATTCCGTGGGCAGATGACCAAAAGTCTCCTGCTCTTCCAGGTTGGGTATTGGAACATGTGTAGCAATGTGCCCTTTAGAAATGGCCTTGAACTTTCCTGCCAAACACCACTGCCTTTCGGTCAAGCCTTTGAGTCACAGGCTTTGGTCAAGAACATGATCGCACCCCCCGGTCCGGCTTCGGGGGCCCTGGCAATTTCCCAACGTTTAGCCATGATACATACAACTAAAAACAATGTTCCGCCTTATCGACCGTTGCGTGGGTCATCAGCCGGGTTGCATTACTGGCTGCATGCAGCAGAGCGGGTAGGCGAAAATAGACTACTACTGATGCATCTCTTCTTTCTTGAACACATTCGCTCTCCTTCCCTTGTCGCCCCCAATCTAGCGATACGTCCGTAGGCCGATTCCGTTTGCCACCCATATCCGTTAATTGCGATAGCTATGACTGACTTGGCCTCCATGGCTACAAACACTTTGAATTCATCATTTAAAACCTGTCACTCAGTTCATCTGGTAGCCATTGGAAAGCAGTACAACAGACTGTTGGTTGTTGATCAGATGGCTGTTGATCTGTCATATTCAGGACCCAATGCAAGGACTGCGACAAACGGTACGTAGGACAAACAGGAAGGAAGCTCTCCACCAGAATACATGAACACAAACTCGCCACTAAAAGACACGATCAATTCTCCCCCATCTCCGCACACAAAGACCAAGAAGGACACGAGCTCGACTGGAACGGCGTTCGCAGACTGGCTCAAGCAAGAACAAAACGAGAACGCAAATTTATGGAGGCGTGGTACTCCACCGAAGAAGCCATCAACAAACACATCGAAATTGATCCCATTTCCCAGCCACTAAGAGCGAGAGAACGCCAGAACCACA